GCGGCGACCAACGCGGTGTTGTCCGTCCGGCGTCGATCCTTCTTGTTCTTCTTGCCTCTCTGAGTGGAGGGGTCTTCTTCTAGATCCGTGCGCTCGGGCTTGCCTTTTGTCCGGCCTTCGCTGAAGACCGCTCCGACCGCCTCCTCACCAGAGGCGTGGTTGGTGGCAACATCAAGCAGGTCGTGGGTGGTACGGGGTTTTAGGCAGCCATGCTTGTGGATCAGGGACTCACAGTTTGTCCCAGAGAGGAATGCGCTGATGACGTCTACGTCGATGACATCAGGGATGGAGTTGCATCATTGAGAGAACCTACGGATGTAATCCCGCAGGGACTCGTTGGGCTCCTGCTGATAGCTCTTGAGGTCCCAGGAGTTTCCTAGGTGGACGTAGGTTCCCTGGAAATTCCTAACGAAGACCCTCTTGAGGTCCGCCCAGTCGCGGATGCTGTCGTGAGGAAGGAATTCAAGCCATGCCCGAACATGTTCCCCTACGCAAATGGGAAGATATTGAATGATGAAGTAGTCATCATCCACTCCTTCGGCCCGATAGGCGAGCCGGAAGTCTTCGAGCCAAATGCCTGGGTTTGTCTCCCAAGTGTATTTGGTGACGTTGGTGGGTGGCCGGAAACGCTGCGGGAACGGTGCTCTCCGGATACGCCGGCTGAAGGCCCGTGGCCTCGGGCCCTCAGGGCTGGGGCTCTGGTCGCCTGGCCGGCGACCGCGACTGGGGCACGTTTCATCGCTTCCCTCAATGGTTTGGTCGGGACCCGAGCCGCCTGCCGCCGTGCGGCAGATATCGTTATCGCATTGGGCCTGATGCCAGTTGCTGATGACGCTACGAGCGTCTTGGTGTGTATCGGGCCGCTTGTGTACCGGCAGTCAGTGTGGGGTGGGTGCCAGATCGGACAATGGCCTGACAGCTGCAGCGGCGAGCGAATGGAGCGATCCGTCTAGCGCGTCCCCGTCCCACCGGTGGGGAGAGAGGGCGTGGGTCGGAGTCACGACGCGGAGCTTTCCGCCTATTGGACGGCGGTGGCTTCCACTAGAACCCAGAGGTTCCGGTAGACTACCCGCTCCTGGGGGTCGACGGGCTCGAGAACACCGCGCAGAAGCATTACTACGGTAGCGATATTCTGGCCAGTCCGGGTGAATTGTGGGAGATCGTTCCCCTCATTCACGATGTTGAGTTGGACCTGACGGGGGCGACCCTAGGCGCCACCCGCCGGGCCATGCGCATGGGGCGCAACGTGCCGCACCGAGTGTGCCGGTGCAGGCGGCGGCTGGTTCTGCCGCCGTTGTTGTAATTCCTCGGCGTGCGCTTGCGCAGACGCGAGGGCCCCCGCACGTGGGTCTAGTGGGGTGTGAATTTGCGCGGAATCCACAACCATCGGCGGCTGTCTAGGAGCGTCCGCCATAGCGCACTCCCGGGATGGACAATGGCGGGGTGCCACGTCGTCGATGCTGGAACCGTCGCTCTCGCCCTCGTCATCCGGGAGTCTGTGGGAAACGATAGGACCGTAGCCCGCCACTCCCACGAATTCGGACGTGAGGGGGGATGGTGCGAACATCCTCCGGAGCCCCCGAGCGTACGCATCCACGGAGGTTGCGAGGCCGTAGGGAAACCGGTCGTACGGTGGTCGTGACGGGGACAACGGCTGCCCTCCGGGTATTTGGCAGAAGATATAACGTAGTAAATAAATAACATCATGTACGTTACTTACAGCGGGGTTTGAGTAGAGAGTTTGCTCAGAATGAAGCGCAGATGCCGCGTCGTCGAAGTCGCGCGTCTCGGAATCGATGGAGGACGTCCCTCCGATGGGTGCCGGGTCGCGAGCCTCCTCGCAGAGGCGAAGTACGCCGAGTCGGTCGACGACGAAGTCCAGGCATCCGAAGAGGAAGGCCTGGGTCGGCTCGAAGACGGGTGGAACCCACATCCCGGCGGGTGAGAGTGTGGGAAAGTCCAGCGAGCCGAAGCGAATTGTATCGCCTGAGCCCGCCACGGTGGGGGTGGCGGAAAAATGGGCCATCCGATGACCAAAAAACGTTGAACGTACAACGTCTTCCCCACGGACGGCGCCAACTGCCAGTACAGAAAGTGACAAACTAGTGAATATTTGTAGTTTTGCTGTACGTTGTGATCAGAGGTGGCCTAGCACTCAATGACACAGGATTTATACTGGTTCAGGCAACGTGCCCTACGTCCAGTTTGAGTCGGTCGGTGACTTTATTCCTAAGCCTAGGTGCTCGAAGTCTGTAGTGGGGTTACAAACGAGAAGGAGAAATGCGGGGTGTACGAGAGGCCCGGTCGGGTCCGACCGAAAGGGCCGAGAGCGACCGGAGCTCCGCTACGAGCTAGGTGTTTAAGCGTGTGCTTGAGGGGTTGTGAGCTATCGATCTAGTGAATCTCAACTTCAAGAAGTCGACCTCTTTCGTTGGAGGGAGCGTATCCCCTTTTATAGATGAAGGGGATGGCTTTACAGGTGAGAGAGAGAGAGTATGAATGTTACTAAGCCTTGTTGCCCACGCCGATGAGGACAGTGATGACGGTAGGCGGCCACAATACTATTGATGTCACTGTAGAATGTCAGATGCACATGGGAGGTTGCGTTGTCTTCTTCAGGAAGGATAGATGTCGGTACCTACAAAATACTGTTGGTATATGAGGAGCCCTACCACGTGTACCAGGTATGGTGAATCCTGGCGCCCACAGTACTATCGATGCCGAGAGGCATGTGGGAGGCTTTTTGCCATACGGGAGTCCAACGGCGCCTACAATACTGTAGACACAAATGGCGGCGTCTACAATACTGTTTGTGTCAGGGCGGTTGTGGAGCACTGTTCCCGCAGGCGTACAGGGTATGGTCCCTGGTATCGTGGTTTGACTTGTGTGCTGCCTTCTCCGTTCGCCCTTGGTCCCTTCCGAGCGGGCATCCTCGGTCGGATGGCCCCAGTCAACCCTGGCCGCGCCAGTCGGAGAAGAGCGGCAAGCAGGCTTCCTACGGGTCCCCGGTCGGAGACGCGGGGTCGGAACAGGAAGCAGCGTTTTGGGCCAGGCCTTCCGATCGGAGAGACCGCCCGGAGGCGGCTGGTGTCTGAAGCGAGTGCTCCGGTCGGAGAGGTGGGCCGAAGAAGCTGACGAGCGGGCGCTCGTTCTTTCGGGTTGACCTTCCGGTCGGCGACCGGACTATCCGTCCGGCCCGTTGTGGTTTAGACTCTTGGACCAGCCCATGAACTACATGCTATTTTCTTGGGCCGAGCCCTGGCGCAGAAGTCGGTTCCTAAGGGACCCCGGGTTTATGAACCCAATAAAAAATTTAAAAAAAATTCATAGATGTAAGTGAGATCCCTTTATAAACTCAGGGGCTGCTATATTTTTAACTAAGAGAAAAAACCTTGAAGTCACAAAAGGTGGAAGCTTTTTAGTCTTCTCTGTGAGTATCTAATAAAGCCAAATTGTTTGACCGATACTCACTCTGTTCCTAAATATCTGTCGTTTTTTACTTCTTGAGAAATAATTTTGACTAAATATATATTAAAAATATTAATATTTATGGTATATAATTAGTATGATCGGAAAGATATTTAAATCTAGTTTTTTAATAAATTTATTTGGAGATACAAATATTACACGTATTTTCTATAAATCAAGTCAAACTTACGGCAAGCACACCGGTGACAACCGTTATTTAGGGATGGAAGGAGCGTTGAACAAGGACCTAAAGATCATAATTGATTTCGTTTTTCTTTGGCACGATAAACACGATGGTACGGGGAGATACGGGCACCTTTTAAACAAAGGGAGAATATAATGCTCCTCTTTATTCACATTTTGGTTGATGTACAAATAAATGGAATCAAATCCCACCCAAATAATATACTAATCACTCTCAATCAATAGGTTTTAAGAAACAATCAATGGTGCGTGCTTTATTTAGCCTACTTTCCTACCTCAACAAACGCAGATAGAAAGTCAACAAAACCATAAAACAAATTTTAACAAGGTTTGAAGAGGCGTTCTCCCGCCGCCACAGGATGACAAGATCATCTTGCTCACTCCAATCCACAAGATTAAAAAAAACATTGCTCAAAACCATGAAAAAAAACTACTGCCATATATAATTATATATATGAATAATAATTTAATTTCGCCAAAAAAAACGTAGGATGTACTATTCACTAGAGAGCATCTTTCGGCTCTGATAGTGAACGCAAAGCCGCGTGCCAGCAAAAAAGAAAAGAAGAAAAGAAGAAAGAAAATAAATAAATAAAATTGTCCCATCCTCTCGCCCCCTCCTCAGTCCTCACAATCAAAACACACCCATATATACCCCGGACTCCTCATTCTCCCCACGGCTTCCCCTCCCTCCCCCATTCGTCGCGATCCAATTCCGGCGCCGGAGAAGACGCGCGCAGGCCCCACCCAGCCGCCTCCAATCCAAGGTGAGGCAACTCTCCTCTCCCGCGCTCCGCCCCGGAACCCCTAGCGTAGCTCGCTTCGATTGCTCCAAGGCCGGTGCTTTGTTTCTGTCCTGGCCGGCGAGCAGTCCAATCCTGTCCGAATCTTTCTTTCTCGCCGCGAGGAATCCAACCCACCCGGTTCTTGTACGCGGCCGATGCGATTCGATTCGGTCGCTTTTGCTTCCTAAATTTCGCTGCTTTTGAGCCCTGCTTCGCGCGGCTCTCACGTATGCTCTTAGTGCTCCGCGGAGGATTGCGCGATGATTTTGTTTGTTGCCCGCAATCTTTTCTTCGTATATATAGCTGATAATAATACTAGTATAGTTCTCCGCGCGTTAATGCGAGCGCGATGAATCGAATCGCTGATTTCTGTTAGGTCTCGCTTTTCACCGGAGATGCTTTAGCTCCGATGCAGCCCAGCGAAGTTAGCTGTGGCATTGTTTCCTGTTCTTTGTTGCCATGGTACTGAAGTAAACCGCTTGAATCTGTTTGCTACCGCAGCAGCGCTCCCGCTCCCACGGACGGACAGCTTGAGCTCGACGGATGAGCATGTGTGAGAAAGATCAGAATTTGCCATGGGGATACGACCTGTTCCGCGACCCTTTTGCTCCTCCCAACGTGTACTACGGGCCTCCTCCCGGTTACTGTGACGGTCACTGTTGTGACCTCCATTACGGTAGAGGTAGTAGTCAGACTTGTGGAATACATGCAGATTTTTCATTTTCCTTTTCGTCTCGTGGATGTGATAAACCATGGAACAGGTAGACAGTATTCCTTACTCATGTATATATATGTTCTTTTTTTTGGCAGCAGCACATCCAGATGAGACTCAGTTGCATTCTTCTCAACTCACATATGATTTGTACAACCCATCAGTAGGCATCTACCATCCTGGTGCTGGAAATATCTATAATCTGACTTGATTGTTTTATTTCTCTCAGCATACCACTTTTACGTTTTTCCTAATGTTCTTGGTAGTTGCAGGAAGCACCCATGAGCATGAGCACGAGACAGTATATGTAGAGCCATCTAGTTCCTCTCCAGACACAGCTGGTGACGGTTATTTTGAGATGGAGGAGGAAGTAGGGAAGAGGTTTTACCCCATGGTCCCAGTTCCCGTGAGTCTACTGATCCTTTGAAGTCAGGTTAAGAAATTGTGTTGTCTAGCTTCATTCGCCTAACATTTGGATCTGCTTCGTCAGCTACCAGAATAATGAAAGTTTCGCTTCTAAGCCAAAATCTCATTGGAAGAGGAAAAAAACAACATGGATATCGCTTTCAGTTGGACCACTAACCTTAAATGCCAAATGACTTTAAGAAATGATGTTGACATCAAATTCCACTAGAAGTCTTTAATTAACTGAATGGCTAATTAACTTTGCATATTCTTGGTCTTAATGCGTGTCTTCGAAAAAGTTATCCTATGCGGATGTGAAAATTATGTCTACCTACTTTTATCGGTAGATCTCTGTGAACAAAGCTGTAGGTATTAACTTTTCTTATACACTGTATGACTTGTTCAAAGCTACTAGCAGTTCAACTGCCCTCAGATAGTATTCCTATTTGTTATTGCTTTTAAATTTTAGAATGCTACTATCCAATAATCTTGATAACCGTGGCAAACTTTCCTCCCCCACACCCTATCCTTGTTGCTATGAAGGAAATGAACCTGTTGTGAATGCTGTGCTGTATCTGTATTTTTTTTTTCTGTGCCTCTGACTCCATTTCCAACTGTGGTCCAATAATCTGTGTCTGCCTTGTCCAGCATGTCCCCAAAATTAATGGAGAAATCCCATCAATTGATGAAGCCACTATGGACCATGAAAGGCTGACAGAAAGGTCAGTCCTTCGGCTTCATTTCTTAGTGAATTACTACTACTGTTATGTTCTACAGTATGCTTGCTAGTGTTAAACTTATCATTGGCTCTGTTTGTCATTAAATGTCTTTTAGGCTTTGCATTTCCATAACAGGCTAGATTACTTGCATATAGTAATATTATTTCTGCTCCATTAGTTTTTCATGCAAAACGTTTTCTTCTGGAGTTGTTCAATGTTCATTTATCATCTTTCAGGTTGAAGCTGTATGAGCTGGTTGAACACAAGGTGCAAGGAGATGGCAACTGTCAGGTATCATCCATCGTATTCCTCACCCAAATAGTTATTTTTTCTTTCCTTCACCACCTCTTGTCTTCCTTTTTTGAAGTGATCTCTGCACTTTCTTTTTCTCTTCCCTTTTTCCGCCTTTTATCTCTTTTTTCCTCACAAATTGAGAGTCTGTATCACATTCACAACCAATTGATGCTAATTGCACGCCCCCAATTCCACAGTTCCGAGCACTATCAGACCAGCTTTACCAAAGTTCAGATCACCATGAGTTTGTGAGGGAGCAGATAATTAACCAGGTATTTAACCACATAAACTTTTGTTTCGCAATTGCTAGCCGTGTGTTGTCTTTTCTCTGATAAACCATCCCTTACAGCTTAAAACTAACCGTGACGCCTATGATGGATACGTTCCCATGGCATATGATGATTACTTGGAGAAAGTTGCACGGTCAGTTCCACACCATGCCAAACAATTTTTTTTTTAGAATGGAGCACAGATTAAGTGCATGTGGATGCTTGTCTAACATGCATTTTACTGCTTATAAACTAACAGAAACGGTGAATGGGGTGACCATGTGACTCTACAGGCCGCTGCTGACAAGGTTAGTCTTTATACAATCTATGTTCCAGCTGTCATTCCTGGCATATCTTGTGTATAGGAGCTGACAAGAATGCTATTTTTTTAGTCGTCCTAATGTAATGTAAGACAACAATCTGGTGCAGTATGGAGTAAAAATCTTCGTGATGACATCGTTCAAGGATACTTGCTACATCGAGATCCAGCCTAAGGTTCAGAAGTCCAACAAAGGTAAACATTTGATCCTTGCAGTCCTCAAGGGCTAACCGCCTGGTATTTCAATCCTTTACTGGTTATTGGTGTCAGGCATCTAAAGTGACTCCCTGCCTGTGGTTGCAGTGGTACTGTTGAGCTTCTGGGCGGAGGTGCACTACAACTCCATATATCCGCAGAATGGTGAGTAGGCGTGCCATTGGCATGCCGGGCCTTCACCACCAATGTATGCAACCAACATGCTATATATTGTCAGTAGTCTTTCTTTTATTTGAGTAGTAGTAGGAATCATGTGCAACCATATGCAAGCAAGCTCTGTTCGTTGTTGGTGAAGACGATTTGTGGCTTGTGAACACTTCAGATGCACCGAGGTCGCAGACGACGACCAAGAGGAGGAGATGGTGGCCGTTCTCGCAGCACCACCACCGTTGATGGCGGATGACAGAGGGCTCGACGCATCATCTTCATCTCTCCGGGACTGGGATGGATGTCGGAGCGGTGGAGCTCGTCATGATTCAGGATCAGGTGGTGGTCCTGTGGGCCCGGCCATCGTCCAAATGATACAAGGGACGTACTTATGATTAATATATCCAGAGCAGAGCAGAGCAGACCATACCTGATAATTGGAATGGGATGAATGAAATGAAATAAACATGGGATGGGATGGGAATCGTCGTCCCGTACATAGTTAGAGTGGAGGCCGGTGAGTGCCAACTCAACTCTTGTATTGTTGTTTATATCTACAAATTTTGCCGGAATGAGGCTAGAATTATTGGGAAACGATTATGATAATAATGATGCTGATAATAAATTGGTTAAGAATTGAGATGACCCAGTTGCTGGCTGAGCTCTGATCATCATGAACAGAATGGAGTAAAACACAGATGGATTTCTCAGTGCATCTGTTTACCTCCGGTAGAAGCGAAGAATATCGTAAAGGAAAACGCTGTACCCTGAAGTGGGACTCTTTTCAAGGACCAAAGTACCCACAAGCTGTACCTTAGATTTAAGCCCAACAGTTCTTTTTGAAAGGCAATATCTGGTTTCTAGCCCAGGAGTCCAGGACATTCCTGTTCGCTTGGCTGATAAGCCATGACTGAAAGTATTGTTGGCTGATTTGTTGTGAGAGAAAAATAGCTGAAAAGGTACGGCTTATAAGCCAAGCGAACAGGACAATTTTTATTGGGCCCATGAGTCATTTCACAGCTGAACCATTTAGCCAATGGATAGATAGGCTGGTGCCAAATTAAATCACGATGGTGAACGCATTGAAGCCTTATTTTTGGGTCCGAGTGATTCTTTTGCAGGGTTACTGATAAATGATTAGTCAAGGCCATATAGTTATCTTGGACCTCAGATTTTGGATTTGGAATATGGAGCAAGGACATTTTCACGGTAGTGTCTATGTACAATTTGGTGTTGGGAGCACTTAGACTTAATGTTATATCTTCTTTTATCTTTGACCATATTGTTAAGGCCTCGAGACCAGTAGCTTGATCAAAGTCGAAGCCAAGAGTATTTGGATGTACACATTTGATGTTGTGCCCCATCCCCAACTTCTTCTCTAAACCTAAAAGCTAAACCGAGAAGGACTAAATTGAGAGCCCCCTAATTTGGAAACCAAATTCCTTGTCGAAACTAGGAAACCCAAAATGGAATGAAAAAGGACAAAATTGGAAGTAAGAACATAAATAGAAGAGGTACCAAAGATCCAATTCGTGTACCCCATTGATGGTGGCAGCGCTCCATTGATGCTCTAGCCATAGGCGACACTCTGGTTAGATTTGGGGTTAGAGTTTAGGTTTATGGGAGATTTGGGAGGTTGCTTGGCGATAGAGGTAGGATGTGGGCAGGACGACGAGGTGACACCGCCCATTGTGGTAGTAGTTAGTGGCAAAGTTTGGGCGAAATCTTAGAGGGGGTTGGATCTAGCGACTTAGGAACCAAGGGTAAACTGGGGGAGGGGGCACTAATGATGCACATATGATATTAGTCATGGGTTTACAATATGGTGATTAAGAACTTTTTAAAAGCTAGGGGGCCATGGCCTAGTTTGGTCTAGCCTATGCTTTGCCCCTGGTGATAGAGGAAGGCAGTTAGGAAGGGTTGACGCCATGGAAGGTTTGTCAAATTTGGTTGGGGGAGGACACGGCTGCGTTGTTATAGATCAACAACACTAGAGGTGGCTGTGTGCTGGACATAAAGATGTGATATCAGAGCCTATTTAGGGTAGTGGCCAGGAGATCGAGGCAGGCAGGGTCATGAGATCACTTGGGTGTATGAGATACTACGATGGGAATGCAGGAGAACACAAATGGAGAAAGACTAAGTGGATGTAGAGAGGTTTGGATAGAGGAAGATAAAACTCTTGAATTTGTTTTATCCAAAGAGGTCTTTTTGTGCCGTGTCGTCTATTTCTAAATATCACTTGACTAAAAAGTACTATTGATAATTTTGGTCATTTCCTATCACCAAATACTTTGGAGATCATGCATATGTAGTTAGAAACTTGTTTTCGAATGGTCTGTGCACCGAAAATTATTTTACCATTACTGTTTCATTATGTGTTTGGGCCTAGTTGCTGTTCTTTCCTTTGTTCTGTTGGCTCCTTAACAGGCCCGAAGTTGGCCTGGCACAGGGAGGTGAAAGAGCATGGTTAGTTCATTGTAGCATAGGAGGTAGGGTTATATCGTCTCTTTATTTTTTATTTTTTTGTAACATTGATTTTCCGTTATCAGCAGTGATTTATTAGAGGAAATATTGAATTTATTTTTTATTTTCACAGCGCTGAAATTTTTGGCGAATTAATCGAGAGTGTCTTGTACTTTTCATTGTCCCCAAATGATTCGTGTTACCAAGCTCCTTTTTTTCTCTCTCGCAAGGGATTGTTACATTTTTTGCCAGGTTAGGGTCGAGGCAATTAAATAAATTAATCATTTTGCTTGTTGGTGCAGGCAGTGGCGGAGCTTGGTCATGAAAAAAGAAGGGGCAATATGATATGAAGTGCAAAGAGAGAGGGGGGGGGGGACAGATTAGTGTTTCATCGCCACTTAAAATGGTCAAACTAAGAGTTTTATTAAGGAATTTTATAGTTTAGAGGTGCCATGGCCCACTATGACCTTCACTAAGCTCCGCCACTGGGTGCTGGTGAATTTTTTGTTTACACCTCAGATTAAGAATGTAAACTCTATAATTTCTTTCCTAGGGTGATGTTAGCAAGTGTTCAACCACTTCGCCACATGGGAGATTGCTGAAGAGAGTATCATCGGTTGAACCCGGCACAATACATCTTCAAGTTACATTTGAAAAAAATCTAAAATAAAAAGATAATTTTTTTCTATCATATTCATTCATAGCAACTTTCTTCGATGTAGCCAATGCTCTAGAAGAATAGAGCATTGTTCAACACTGAAGCCAAAATGTAGTTTTCTGCCGAATGTAACAATCAACTAAAAAAATGAACATGTTGCAAATCCAAGTTCCGAAACTAGTCCAAAGGATGAATTAAGGCCAACAATGCATTGCTGGGTACAACATAGGTTGCGGATTCATCACCTCCAACCCTTGATTCGTCATGTTGCATGTCTGATTTCCTCTCCACGAGCATCGACGATGAGATTGATGATCCGAATTAGAGTTACTGTCCTATTGTGAAGTGCCTAGGAGCAACCCTTCCCCCATGTAGACAATGGTCACATATTAACCTCCTACTGATGAAATGGACGTCTGCAACGTGGTATTGTCATGAAAATTACCAAAATCATCACACAAGTAACAAGATCTTGGAAAAAATCATTTGATTTTGTTAATAGATTTATATTTGGATTAAGTCTAAGCAAATTTGTGCCGTAGTAAATAAAAGATGGACCCTCTTCCTTTGTCACAGGCGAATTAAAAACTTACCGGAGGGAAGAAGGAGAGGGCCATCGGTGGCGCCGTCGAGGAGATAAAGGGCGGCGGCGGCTGGATAAAAAACAAAAGCATTGACCGGGTGGCGTTGTGAATAATGTTGCATGGCAAAATAGAACGGGTCCACGTGTACTCACGCGTACGTTGATTTATGGGTTAGTTGGTTTCTTAGACCGGCAGCCGCAGGTTGATGGATGGGTTAGTAGTCTGACTTTGACTGTGGAACAAGTCAGAGTCATCAGCAGCAGGCTGCACCGTCCATGCATCTGCTTCTACCACACCGTCCAGAGCCGGCCCTGACGAGATTCTGGCAGCGTTAGCTTCGCTGAAAAAAATAAGTCGAAATACTGTTTTGACTGATTTATTATGAGAAAAAAAATATTACTGAAAAGTACGGATTATAAGAGAAGCAGGCTGCACCGTCCATGCATCTACATCTTCCTAGAACGATGCTAAAAATAGGTCCATTAGATTGTCTTCAACAACCGTTACCTAAAATATAAGACTCATTTCACGTTTGGGTAGCGCTACAGGCAAAGGGTTCAATACCCATTTTTTTGTCTTCTCCAACAACAAGTCATAAAAGAGAACCCTTTCTACAAATGAGTCTCCAGAAGAGAAGATACTCAGATTTGAGTTATACCTCTCATGACACATAAAATGGCTCTTCTATATAGGTACTCTGTTGGAGGCTATATGTATTCTGTTGGAGGCTCATTTTATGTTTAGGTCTCCTAATAGGTCTCCTGTTGGAGATAGCCTTATACTCAGTCAAATTAAAACAGTGGTTAGTATCAATTGTGAAGACGACGCTTGTTGTGGTAGAAATTATGTTTCTTATAAAAACTTAGAGTACGTGTCCAAGCAACATCTACATATCTCGATCATAGCGGGCGGCCAGAGCGCGGGCGGGGGAGCTGGACGACTCGGAGCTCGTCCCTAAGAGGAGCGCTAAGCTTGCCGCCAAAAGCAGGCACAGGAACAGAAGCCGGAGGCTTAAGCGCGGAAGATGACGATGAAGCGTCTAGAGCTAGACTGAGCTACCTGATGAAGCCTCCTTTGAGGAATTCTATACCGCCTTCAAACTCTCCCTGTCGGTGTCGACGAGGGAAGCCCATACATGTTCTCTTCCCGGGCAGGAAACCACGGACCTAGACGCTCGCTTTTGTCATGCTGGTTTGATCGTAAAACACCTTTTCTATGTAATTTTTCTAAGTGTATCTAGTAGCTAGGTGGTAGGGTGCGCTGTGTCACGAAGCTGCATGATCGCGCACGGGTGTACTGATAACTATTTTTCTCTTAATAAAAAACGGGTGAATGGTCCGACCGCGAAAAAAAATCGATCATAAACTTTCTAGTGATCACTTAATCAATATTTTCTGTTTATCGATGTCAAATCGATCGTCAGCAATGGTCGTCTCACCATCGATTGTATTTGTCTTGCAATTTTTCTTTTTCCTGCGATTTCTTTTCAACGATCGAAAAGGGTCGTCAAACCGATAAACCTTGACTCGTCCAAACAGATTTTTTTTTTCAGAAATACTATACAATACACATTTATTTTAGGAAGAAAAAACACATAGATTTTTTTCTCTTTGCTTTGGCTGTATGTCTGTTGCTTTGGCTGGCTGCACGTGCGTGGAAACAGTCCATGTGGGCTGACGCCTGACGT